CGGCTGCTGGCCGCCCGCCCGCCGCGCCTGGCGCAGGGTAGGGCGGCCTTGTTTCTGTGTGGCCACTAGCTGCTGAGACCTCCCGGGCCGAGTCGGAGGACACAGTGGCGACGCTGTTTACTGTGTTTCACTCGGTCGCTTAAAGCGCGACTGTCACGTCGGCTACGGCTCTCTGGGCCCGGCAGGAAGCTGCCCACTGTGGTCCCCAGAATTCGCGGCCGTGCCCGGCCTCTCGCTCTCCGGGGCCACGCCTGCGCCCGCGCCCCCCAGCAGAGCCCTGTGCACAGTGCTGTGGGCCGCGCCGCCCTCCAGCCAGTCATCACGGACCCGGCTGGAGGTGTTTGCAGTCGCTCTGCTTCTCGGGAACCAGGACGCCAGCGAAAACACCCGGCGCGAGCCAGCTGTGGGCTGCCCTGACCTCTCTGGGCTCCCCTCCTCACCCTCGCCAGTCGCGGGAGCAGGCTGTGCCCCGGGGCCTGCTGTGTCTGGGGGAGCCCCCAGGCTGGCGAGGCTGCGACCCAGGCGGAGTCTGGGGCGACAGGTGCCCCTCAGGCCCAGGGCCCTGCGGGCCCGGAAGAGCCGGGCGACAGGTCCCAGCTGTACATGTCCAGGGCGGCCGGGACCTGCCCCCCCCCGCCCCCCACATTGCCGCGGAGCTTCCTCCGACGGCCTGCAGGGGGCAGGCGAGGTGGGAACTGGGGTGTCAGCCGCCGCACCCCAGTCGCCACCAGAGCAGAGCGAACCCCTTGCTGGGCAGGCGGAGAGGGGTCTCATCCTGGTAGCTGTCTGCAGAGAAGCTGCCGCTGAGGCTGGACGGCCCTGGAGTGCCCTGTCCACCCTGCCTGGCCGCCCCGGGCGGTGCGGCCCTGCTCGCCAGCCTCTCCCAGCCCCGAGGGCGGCTGGCGTTGGCCAAGAGTCTGTCCCGTCCACGTCCAGCCCTCGGGCCTTGGTGCCCACGTCTCCGGCCATCACGTCCACCTCTGGCCTTTTGGTCCCCGGGGAGCTGCTCCCCAAGAGATGGCGCTGCTGAGAATCACTCAGGTGACCGCAGTCCCCAGCACCGCGGTGACCCCAGCCTTGCTCCTGTTTGCCCGACCC